GCATGCGCACTCTTCCGTGGCTCTGATCCCCACCTGATGTTTTAAAGCTCCTAAATGGACACTGAGCTTGATGACTGTTCATTATCTGTATTGTTATTCCATTTTAAAAATGATTTTGCAAATAATATCAATATTATATAAACCGTTACATAAAAGAAAAAAAATGTAAAAGGTTGGTTTGATGGAAAATCTTGCTTATGATATGTATTTTAGCATCTGTAAAATCGGTTCAATTTGTTTTCCACTTTCTTTAATATATTTTTAAAGCATCATATGTCCCCTAACTTATAAATAATTTAATTCAACTCTTATGCACAATCGCTCTTTTAATCAAAGAGTTACTTGATAATTTAATATACTTCATCAAATCTGAATAACAAGATAAACAGCACATTTTTAAGCAATTGTTATACAATGTTTAACTTCATACAAAGGTAGATTTTACTAGGGTTTCAAAGTACCTAAATCACATTTCATCCACCACATGAAGCGCACAATTTAATGTCAGATTTGTCAAACCTTCCACCAGAGCATCATGCAGGAAAATATACTGGTCCTGAAACATGAACAGGATGAATTAAACACTTGTTATATAATGTATATCATTAGTTTAAAATATATCTTATTTATTAGTGTATATCATTATCAGAAAAAAATAAGTATACTAAAACATATTCCGATTATACTGATTCAAAAACAAGAATACAGTATAATTAGGTAAAAATGAGTAAACTTTTGTCCTTTAGATACTAGTATGCGGTAAAGAATACTACTTGATCATTTTAATCTTGAAGAAACTTTGCGGTTTTAAATTCAGAACTGTTTATCATTACCAATATTTTTTTTTAAAGATAGAAATGAAATCTGAACCTACAACGGACTGTATGGAGAAAGCTCTTTGTTGTCTCAGGTTGATGACGCAGTTCTTGACGTCAACACTTCCCTCCTTGAAACCCTTCTCTAGGAGGTAGTCCAGGGCGATAAATGACCCAGTGCGACCAATACCCGCACTACGTTAAAATATTATAAAGAAATTAAAATTAAAGTGTTACTAACGATAAATCAGAAAGAGGTATAAGGCTAACAATGGCAGTGTATTTCAGAGCAAGAATGGACTTGTTTTCACAAAAGTGTCTCTGAAAGTGTTTAGTTTTCCTGTTTTTTTTTTTTTACTGAGCATTTGTTTCCTGTTTTTGACAGCATTGAATACTTTGACATGAAAGGACGAGCTCAAAATAGTAATTATCATGGCCATAAAAAGGCAAAATTTAAAAAAATCATTTTTTTTTTACCTTCCATGTACAATTATTGGTCCTTCGTTGGGACTTATTGAATTTTTAGAGATGTTTCGAAAACAAAGAAGCGCCTCAAGGTTATGTGGGACTTTTGTATCAGGCCAGACTGTAAACTGGTACTGTGTCACCCGCCTGGTCTCTTCCCCCTGAAATGTTTAATTTGGAGGAATACTTTTTGCTCACTATTGGTTATATTGCTAAAAAAATTTAAAGTTCGCTAATTTGAAATACAATTATTTTAGATTGTTTATTAATAGATCTTTTTTTACACGTCCTAAAATCACCAATCACTCTAATCTATTTCAAGCAGTGCGATAGGTCAATTATGTTATAGCATATATGGAATACAGGAAATAAAATTCACTTTTAGCACTTTAAACTTGATCTTTAAGTGTACATCTGATACAAAGAGGAAACATTTATTTTCATGAAGTGGTACCAGTTTGTTCTTGAACTGGACTCATTTGAGTTTGGCCCCACTTCAACGTTCAGTTGGATTCACATATACACTTTCCGGGTATTTACGTGTGAAATCATCAAATACACTCTGACGTGTTTGAACATTAAAGGAGATCGCACTTGTTCTCACTATTATTTCCTCTATTTTAGGATAAATTTCAGAAAAATAATTTAAGAGAAGGATGTTTTTCTCGGATGGTTTAACACGCCTGTCTAGGAATATTTACAAAACATTTATGTAGGAAATAAATTTCAATACTCATTTGCAAATTGAACAAAAGTACTGCTATTTTAGTTTTTAAGAATTTTAAAACACTAATCTGTGAGAATTAGTTAAATCAAATACATGTAACTATGAAGGGGGTATATGGGAGTAGTATATTTCTTTATCAGTTTCATATTAAGGAGAAACATTGTTTACATAATTGTTTTCTACACTTACCATTCTAACAATAAATTTTCGTATTGTAAATTTATCCATGCTATCTTCCTTTTGGACAATTATTGAGAAAGGTCCAAATTCCCCTGCGTTTCCTGGCCAATATTGCATACATTTTTCCTATGGGAAAAATCGATAAAAAAAGTGGAAATACAATTATTCAGTAATTTTTTTTTCGATTCAACAAAACAATTTCAGAAAATGACTTTTCTAGCAGGAAATAAAAAAATGCATTTTTCAGTGTTCATTACACATTCAAAGTGAAAAAAGAAAATCAGCTTAACCTCTTTACATGATCAATGACTTTTTTTTCTAATATTTTGAATAAGTTGACTGTATTTCAACATGATGATGAGGTAAATTTCTCTTACCGCATTTCCTTCTGTTAATCGTGTAAGCATTACAATTCTCTTGCTCTGCGTTTGCCAGACCATTCTCCAGAAATCGACAATGGTCTGTGGAGTAAAAGGTCCTACAACAAACAGGTTTATATATTAAAAAATAATGTTGTAAATTACTATATAGTATAGAAAAGCATGAACCCCTGTTGACTGCAATGCATCATTGAGTTCGAAGCTTTAATTAGTTTCTATTAATTTACATAACTATTATTTTTAAACAAATGAAACATGAACGTCCATAAAACAATACAAAATAGGAGCAGAGCAAACACGCACCTCCAAAACATCAGAGATGGGATAAAGTGCCATAAAACTTATTTTGAAATTAAAATTACGACATTGACAAAAAAATCTATAGATTATAGCATTATTGAAAATCTATGAATAAGAAATTTTATTTCTACATATTTTGATATACATGTACTTGCATACCTTAAAATTGAATAAAATGTGTTTGATTCTGAACATTTTAAGGTTTGTATATTATTATTTTATGCTCAAGCAGAAAAAAAGCAGATCTCTGGTCTCTTGTCCCGACACCTCTGATCGAGAGAGACGTACATCATAGGTACATTACCTTGTGCTGCAATGTAGGCGTTTTCCTTGTAAACTCCCTGAAAGTGGAAAGGAGAAATTTAATTGCATTTTAAACTAGCTAGATTTTCTAAATAAAAGCTAGATAGTTACCCCGAAATAAAAATGAAAATAACTGTATATTTACATGTAGACTCACATTAACATAACTGGCATTGATGTAATTCCCAGGAAAAAGACTTCCAATAGGTTCCAGTATTACTCTGTTTGCATCATCTGAATAAAAAAAAAAACACAGTTAATGAAATGAATTAGGATTTATTGAATTTTATATAAATAAATTGATGTATCGTTCTTATAAGAAAACAAAAAATCTCACAGGGATATATCTTTTTGAATCTGTTTTTCGTACTATTTTCCATTTTCAAAGCTTCTGTGTGCAAATTCATAAGGCCATTCGGTAGAATCTGTAAGTGTAATAAAACATTTAAAATTATAATGACGAGGAATATATCTTGTCATATTTGGTGAATGTTAATTATCTCATTTTCCTTAGATTTCTTTTTTTTTATTTTGATAAAAATAGGAAAGTAAAAATTTGTAGACATAGTGAAAATGAACTTTTCTTCTCTCTTTTGATCTCTCACTTGAGAGACGTGTGTTAAAAATGTATCATTTTTTGTCAGTGACCTTGAACTCTGACCGGAATTCATTAGCCGTCATCTTTTGGTGGGTGTCTTTGACAAACTGATCTATGGACAAGCTCTTAGTTTTGATGTTACTGAATGTCACCACGACCTGTACTACACCATCGTAGGGATCGTCTAAGTAGTGGCTATTCCCCTCGGGTTCTAGTATTACGCGGCTGCTGTTTAAAGTGTTCCGTGTCATCATTGCCTGTTCGGATAGATTTAAGGCTGATGTTCTTGTATGTTTGAAGAATGAAAATGATTTAGCCCATAAAAAACGTCTACAAAATCTGGAAGAAATACAAAATTATTAAAATATTTGCATATATAAAAATTAAGCTATCAAAATCAAATTTTCATTCTTTTTGTTGAAAATTACTTTTTCAGAAGGAAGGGTGTCGCTAATACGATGATAAATCCAATAGGAAACAACACCCAAAAGAGTATTTTTCCTACATCCGTTCTCAATTTGTCTGTGAAAAGATGGCCATTGCTATCTAATAAAATTATGTTAGTATAAATATCGGCTCTGCTAAATGTATCTACATGAAAAATAGCAGAAAAACCAGCAAATTATTGCTACATTTTTTGACGCGTCATTTTTACCTGAACAATTTTCTCCAAAATGACCGTCTTTACATCTCAGACAAGTCCCGTTGATTATATCACATATATCACAGTTAGGATGACACTCATGCTGACAAAATTGACCATATCTGGACTGCTGACATCTAGTACATTGCTGAGTCAGAATGTTACACTCAGAGCATGCTGAGGAACAATTCCTGCATGTACAATATTCTGAAACATTAAATATAGAAAATGAAAATTAACCGCTTTATTCTATTTTTTCATTTAGGTGAAACGGGCAAGGAAAGTTGGTTATCCTCGTTTAAGAAGATTACCAAGTTGTCTTTCAACACTACTTAATTTCTAAAGACAAAACCAATTTAATTGTAAGAACAATAGCAAAAACATTTTTGTCGCAGTATTTATTTAAAAAGACTAATTTAAACACAAAAGGAATTTAATTAATATGCCTTGACAAAAATGAAAAAGAAAAGTCGAAATTTGTATAATTACTTTTTAATAGATAATTGACTAAGCGAGTTAAATATGTCAATACATAGTATATCTGACACTACCGATCTCAATGAAACACATAATTTAATAATTTAGTTTTAACACGTACGTCATTTGATCGGATGAAAGATTTAATTTATATTGTATGACATAAGTTGCCTACGTCACATTGCATTACGTCAAAAAACGTATTATACTTAAAATATGTTCGATTTGAAGCAATTTTTGGTGGGGAAATTGTCTTATTGTCTACAAGGAAATTAAATTATAAGGAATAAAGTTAAATAGAACTTATGCTATACGATATAACATGGGACAGATTACGCTTTTTATAAAGCGTAAACTGCCCCAAGTTATGTTATATCGTACAACATAAGTTCCAATACGCTCCACTCCTTAAATTTCTAAAATTAAACATAACAAAAATAAATTCTGAAGCTAAGTCTATTCTGCAATGATGTATGATGTTACGCATGGTACAAAAATGTTCTCGAACTATTCCTCTATCTAAAGGCTCTTAAACTGAAGTCTTAACATACTTCTGTTACCTCTTTTCGTTGTTAGGTGTACTAAGAAATACATGTATCATCATTATTTAAACTAGTACTCTTTAAAACTCCGCCTATTTATACTTTACACTTTCATTTACTCACTAGATAATTGGCATTGGTTCCCATGGAACCCATCTTTACATCTCGAACACTCTCCAGTTAGCTCATCACATGATCCAGGTACACATCCGGGAGAACACTGATATTCACACCAGACCCCGTAATGTGGTCCGTCACAAGATTTACAGCTGCTGGACGGAGTACACTTTGTACAGGGAATACCAAGGTTGTTTGACTCACACACTGCAGGTCGTTGTAGATAACATCACAAAAAATTAATCAGTAAACAAAAGCATATTTCAATTTACAAGTTTATACTTTTCCAAAAGGGATTATTTTATTCATTTATTAAAACGAATGGTGTGGATACAATATTCATACCTTTAAGTTTAAAGTCACACAGTGTCAACGTTCCAAAACTTGTCTTGTTAACGATAATAACATCTCCGTGTAAGTCTGAGATACAGGTGATATAAACATTGCTTGTAGTAAATTCAAAGGGTAGGTGTTTATAACCACAAACTTGTGGAGCGGAAGTGTCCAAAGCATTTTGTACTTCTACTGTGTGATTACCTAAAGAATTTTAAACCTAGGAATTAATATGTAGTAAATAAAGAGATATAATGACATCTATCGAAAAAAAATCATTACTTACCTCCTTTTAGCCGAAGATAGACACCGGCAATAGTCAGGGACTGGTTAAACTGTATTTTCCAGTACTCTCCTGTGCCCTTATTTGTCACAGCACATGTTACGTCATCATCATCAAGGGGGATGTTAGGTCCGTTTTGTGGAAAGGGAACACTGCTTTGTGAGACTTCATATCCAGAAAGAGGGTATGCTCCTGCAATTTAGTTTTTTTTTTAATTTATAATTTTTACGCTTTAAATACACAATTTATTCAACTATCTGTGAGGAAAGCACTAACTAAATAGAACATTTAAATGAAATGTCACTGGTACAAAACTATGTCTAAAGAAAAATAAAAATTATTTGACATTTTAATGTTATATAAGAAAACAACTTCGGGAAAAATCGTTTTTGGAATTATTTATTCGTTAATTACCTCTAGAATCAATGATGAACAAGGACAAAATAAGTGTGCATTTTGAAGCAATCCGGCCATTATACAGAGTACCAGCCATTTTCCCCTTTGTATGAATCGAATGATCTGAATATTGTGTATTTATTTCTTTGAGCATCACATGTTACTGCAAAACCCGGAAATATTTAAATGGATTATTTATAATTTACTCACAATATAAACAAACATTTCAAACAGAAATTGGGTGACAAGGAAAATATATTTGCGTCATCGGTACCGGTGTTGGTTTTAGTGTTGAATTTTTTTTAAAGTAGTCCTCTCCAATTTTAACGCGCATCTGGAATCTTTCTGCCCATGCGCGATCACGTGATCTAGCGGTCACGTGAAATGCTCTGAAATGCTCCGCAGTGTTCTGTCACTGAAGCTTAAAGATTTTTCCTATTATCATATTTCTCACCATACAATAAACACAGTCCATTTGTCAGAAATGACCAAATCTCGGCAATAGTATGGGTAGATAAGGATAACTTTTTCCAGAATGAGCATGGTGACTATCATAACCCGAGTTCTCTGTTTTTGGAGCGTTGTTAATTGAATATTCAATGTAGATAAAGTATGGATGCCTTCTTCTTTTTTTAATCATATATGATTTGTTTATAAGTCTAAATTAAGCATTATTTTAGAAATTTAATAATTATGTTATTGTTAGGATATTTTACTATTTTTCTACATTGTACTTGTAAGTTGGGGATCTTTCGTATCAAATTGCTTAACAAAGGGCACATCTCTTCCCCAGCTTGCAATTGCTTCAACTTGGCAACAGAACAAACACCATTTTTAAAC